TATGCTATACGGGCCGCAGTCAATATGTGTATAATGATGTGTTGGAGTTGTTTTTCCATCTTTAAATTTATTATGCCCAAAAGAAATATTTCTGGTTTGAAATCCATTTGTATCTCAGTTATCTCCTGTATCCAATCTCTTATCCGCTCCCAATAATTTTTTACTTTGGGGCACAGCCACCACATGTGATAAAATGTTCTGAAGACCCCTGCCTTATATTGTATACGCAAGGACCGTGACAGCCACCATGTCAGACAGAAGGCATGCAAGGAAGCTGTCGTAAGTACAGCATGGCACAATATTCCTATTTAAGCTCGTATTTATTGATCTGCACCCAAAACTGGCTAACAACAAGTTCTTATCACCTATCAGGGGCCAAGTTCGTACAAAATTCGGCAGTCAGCTAAGCCTTCCCCCGATCCCTGGATTAAAAGAACGGAAATCGGGTCTTACCTTGAGAGTGAAGAGGCTGATCCGCCCGGGGAGTTTGTAAAAAAGCCCATCGCAGCTTCTTGAATTGGAGTGAAGCATCGCGTTCAGGCAGGCCAGCGGGGAGGTGCCACTGCGGATGGAAAACAGGGCACAATTCAACCTGTCAGCCGAGAGGTACCTCGCTCTGGAACTAGTGAAAAGAAACTGTGGGACATTCTGACAAGCCGACATATTACCAGCTGCCCAGATTCCCCTTGTGACGAATGACAGGAAAGAAAGAAAGAAAGAAAGAAAGAAAGAAGGAAAGAAAGAAAGAAAGAAAGAAAGAAAGAAAGAAAGAAAGAAAGAAAGAAAGAAAGAAAACAAGAAAGAAAACAAGAAAGAAAAAAACAAGAAAAAAGGAAGGAAGAAAGGAGGAGGGAGATCAAAAAGAATGAAAGAAAGGGGGAGAAAAATAGAAGGAAGGAAGGAAAAAAGGAAGGAAGGAAGGACAGAAGTGGAGGGAGGAAAAGAAGGAAGGAAAAAGAAAGACAGGAAGGGGAACAAAAAAAGAGGGAGGGAGGGAGGAAAGGAGGGAGGGAAAAAAGAATGAATGAATGAATGAAAGAAAGGCAGAAAGAAAAGAAAGATGGATGGAGGAAGGAAGGAAGGAAAAAAAGAGATGGAGGGAGGAAAAGAAGGAAGGAAAAAAGAAAGGAGGATGGAAGGAAGGAAGTAGATGGATGGATGGAAGACGGAGGGAGAGAGGGAGGAAAGGAAGCAGATGGATGGAGGAGGGAGGAAGGGAGGGAGGGAGGGAAGGAAGAAAGGAGATGGGAGGGAGGGAGAAAAGGAAGGAAGGAAGGAAGGAAGGAAGGAAGGAAGGAAGGAAGGAAGGAAGGCCCATAAGAATGGCCCAGAGAGTTACTAGACAAGGATGGTGCTGATAATCAGGCAGGCAGTTTCGTCCTGTTCCTGCTAAATCCCCAGAATATGGAGATAGCCAAGAAGCTGCTTATGAGTGCTTTGAATTTCTGCGGAGTTGATTTCAAGGACAAATAAGTTTGGATCCAGCACGATGGACTCCCTCCCTGACTCCCTCCAGCTGCCCTTGGTGTAGCAATTCTCCTAGGCCAGAGGTAGGCAACCTTGGCTCTTTTATGACTCGTGGACTTCAACTCCCAGAATTCCTGAGCCAGCCATGCTGAGGGGAAAGGGAGAGGTTTCCAAGCTGAGCCAGGCTGGCTCAGGAATTCTGGGAGTTGAAGTCCACGAGTCATGAGGGGGCCGTAGTTCCCCCATGCTGGCTCAAGAATTCTGGGAGTTGAAGTCCACGAGTCATGAGGGGGCCGTAGTTCCCCCATGCTGGCTCAGGAATTCTGGGAGTTGAAGTCCACGAGTCATGAAGGGGCCAAAGTTTCCCTCATGCTGGCTCAGGAATTCTGGGAGTTGAAGTCCACCAGTCATGAGGGGGCCATAGTTCAACAAAGCAGCATCTGGATTTCTTTGAGAATTGGAAAAGCAACACCAGTCCAGGTATGAAGCATCGGCTCTCGGGAAATGAGCAGCTTATCGGTTTTGGAAAAGGCCACGGGGCAGTAGTCCTCAGCTTACGACCGACATTCCCGGTGCTAAGCTGGACAGCGGTTAAGCAAGGGGCGCTGTGTTTTACGACCTTTCTTGCCGCGGTCATTAACGTCAATCACTGCTGTTGTGCTCGTCGCAAAAGGGGATCACGTGAAACACACACACACACCGGGACCCTGCAACCGTCATAAAGACGAGACGGTTGCCAAGCGGCCGAATTTTGATCACGTGACCCCGGGGAGGTTGCAAAAGGTCGTAAGTGTGAAAAAGGGCCATAAGTCCCTTTTTTTTTTGGCAGTGCTGTTCTTAACTGTGAACGGTCACTAAATGAATGATTGTTAAGTCGAGGGCCACCTGCATAGATTTCGTGATATTTTACAGTAACAAAATAGAATTATTAGATAAAGTCTTCTTTTTTTTGTAAAGCAATGGTTTGCATATGGTTAATGCATAGATATGTGTGTACACACACACACACAATACATTTATTTCTATCTGGTCAGTGCATAGGTATGTGTGTGTACACACACGCACACACACACAATACATTTATTTCTATCTGGTCAGTGCATAGGTATGTGTGTGTACACACACACACATTTATTTCTATCTGGTCAGTGCATAGGTATGTGTGTGTGTACACACACACATTTATTTCTATATGGTTAGTGCATAGATGTGTGTGTGTACACACAAACACATTTATTTCTATATGGTTAGTGCATAGATGTGTGTGTGTACATACAAACACATTTATTTCTATATGGTTAGTGCATAGATGTGTGTGTGTACACACACATTTATTTCTATATGGTTAGTGCACAGATGTGTGTGTGTACACACACACATTTATTTCTATATGGTTGGTGCATAGATGAGTTTGTGTACACACACACACTACATTTATTTCTATCTGGTCAGTGCATAGATGGGTGTGTACACACACACACACACACACACACACACACACAACATTTATTTCTATCTGGTCAGTGCATAGATGTGTATATATATATACACACACACACACACACGATACATAAAATATTTAGCACTGACATTTAAAAAAATATGGGTTTTTACATTTTGGGGGGTTTTCCTTCTCTTCTATTTTTTTGCTTCAGTTTAGTTTTTTAATTGTTTATTGCCTTTAGTATTTTCTTCGTTGTAAGTTTTGGATGTTTACACTCTTTATTTTTTGTAATGTGGGTCAAAATACAGTTGGAAGAAAATAATCTGCAGCATCTGGAGAGGGGAGTTCTCTAAAGAGGGGAAAAGGCTAAGAAAAACGGAACTGATAGTCGTTCTAAAAGATGTTTTTTTCCAATCTTGAACATCTCAAGAGAGATTCAGTTTCAAGTTGTTCTTTAAAAAAGGAAGTAGGCTTACACATTGAAAAATTACACACTACCCTACAAAAGTGTTCTAAAATTGAACTTCCCCTTCAATTTAATTTGCTGCTGGGGGGGGGGGAAGGGAAGTGGCTTTTGTGGGAAATCTCAGCTGTGTTTTTGGCAGTTATCAACAATTCTCCCCAGATTAAAACCTTAGTACCAGAGGAAGACAGAATATCAAATTTGTATTTTTTTTTTACAATTTTTAAAATTAATTTTAGAATAGAACTGGAAGGGACCATGGAGGTCTTCTAGTCCAGCCCCCATGCTCAAGCAGGAGAACCTATATACCATCTTAGACAAGTACTGTCTAGCCTCTTTTTAAAAACCTACAGTGGTGGAGCACTCATGATTTCTGGTGGCCAGCTGTTCCACTGGTTAATTGTCTCACTGCTAGGAAGTTTCTCCTTAATTCCAGGTTGCTTCTCTCTTTGGTCAATTTCCAACCACTGTTTCTCGTCCTGCCCTCTAGTGCTTTGGAGAATAACGTGACCCCCTCCTCTTTATGGCAGCCCCTCAGATATTGGAAGACTGCTATCACGTGCCCCCTCGTCCTTTTCTTCATTAAACTAGACATACCCAATTCCTGCAACTGTTCTTTGTATGTTTTAGCCTCCAGCCCCCTAATAATCTTTGTTTCTCTTCTCTGCACTCTTTCTAGAGCCTCAACCTTTGGATCTGGGACCTCCTCATCTCTAATATTGATTATTCTCTCTGTTTTCAGGGCCCAGGGTACAGAGTGAAAGAAGGACAGAAAAAAGATTCACAAGGGGGAAAAAAAATCAGCAAGGCTGCCCTTCTGCGCTCACCACTGGAACAGATCGACCCCAATTTTATTTTACATCTGTTCCTTCCCACGATCAAAAAAAGATACTCAAAAGATTGTTTACCTCACACACACCCCAGAAACAAAGAAGTATCATTGTCAAAATATGGCCTATGTTTTAAAGAAAAAAAAACCCCGAGTGCGCCATTAAGTGGCAGCATGATTAATACCGTGAACCTTTGATCTGGCTGGCAAGAAACAAAACATCCCAACATAAACATCTCGCATAACTTTCTGGAGAAGCTCTTTTGTAAATGTTCATGTTTAGTGAGACAAGAACACTTAACAGTAACAGCCTGTTGTCTTAGAAAAATAAAACAAAAGTTTGGCTGCGTTAAATGGATGGGGCTGTCCCTCCAAACGCACAGAGATAAATCATGCCACGTGGGGTCCTTGGTGCTCTCTGAGCTTGGCTGTTTTCTTGCAGATGTTTTATGACCCAACTAGGTAACATCGTCAGTGCTGGAAGGGAGTGGGCTTTGCAGAGTGGGGAAGAAAATTACTATGGCAGGGGTCTTCAAACTTGGCCCTTTTATGGCTTGTAGACTTCAACTCCCTGGCTGAGGAATTCTGGGAGTTGAAGTCCACCAGTCATAAAAGGGTCCTAGTTCCCTCACGCTGGCTGAGGAATTCTGGGAGTTGAGGTCCACGAGACATAAAAGGGTCCTAGTTCCCTCACGCTGGCTGAGGAATTCTGGGAGTTGAAATCCACAAGATATAAAAGGGTCCTAGTTCCCTCACGCTGGATGAGGAATTCTGGGAGTTGAAGTCCACATGACATAAAAGAGCCCTAGTTCCCTCACGCTGGCTGAGGAATTCTGGGAGTTGAAGTCCAGAAGACATAAAAGGGTCCTAGTTCCCTCACGCT